TGTCTGCTCTTGCAGAGGACCTGGGTTCAATTCCCAGCACCCACATAGTGTCTCACACCCAGCTATAACTCCAGCTCCAGAGGATCTGACACCCTCTTTTGGACTCTGCAAGTACCTGCCCTCATATGCACATAACCACACCCCACACACATATACACATAATTAAAAATCTTAAAGAATCTAGAGGAGAAAGACCTGGAGTCCAGCTGTGGGGCTGTGTATTGTTCTGTTAACCTTCATGCAGTTTTCCTCAGGATAGGAAATACTACAGACTTCCGAAGGAGACGCTCCCAGATCTGACCATAAGAAGCAAGTGGATCAAAGAAGTGCTCAGGAGGACTGTAGCAGAGAATGTACTTCTCTGCTAAGCTCCCCCGTTGGGTGTGCTCCCTGCTCAGGTCTGCCCCCTGGGGTGTCTCCCACTGTTCAGGTCTGCCCCCTGGTGTGTGCTCCACTGCTCTCGTCTGCCCCCGGGGTGTGCTCCTTGCTCAGTTTTCCTTGGGGTGTGCTCCACTGCTCAGGTCTGTCCCATGGGGTGTGTTCCACTGCTCTCGTCTGCCCCCTGGCGTGTGCTTCAGTGCTCAGATCTGCCCTTTGGAACTGGCATTCCTTTTCCCTTAGCTATTGGTAGTACTGGTGTTTGACCCCCTCATCTGCTCTGAGAACTGCCATCAGCTGCCCCCACTTACTCTGCTCCTGGAAGTATCTCACATCTATTAACTGATGCAGGGGAAGGAAGGGTTAGCCTAACTTCAGAATTCCCCATGAGATTGGCTGAGTGAGGTCTTTATTGTGCCAACATCACAGTAAAGCTTCTCTGTTCCCCAATCCTGCTTTCCCTCTCTCTTCATAGTTACTTACTAATAAACATCTTTCATGTCAATTTTCAGTTCAGAACCTTTTCTCCAGGGAGCCCAGTTGTAACAGTATTGGAGTTACCAACATAATACCTAAGCCTGCACATACAGTTATCATATTCATATTTATTCTATATTCATTTTAGTAAATTACCAGCCCAGTTTTACTATAATTAAGCTAAAATAAAATATTTTAAAAAGTAATATATACTATTTTATTAATTAATTTTTTAATGTATTTGTCTTTGTATTAGAATGCAGTATTAGTCAGGGTTTTCTAGAGCAACAGAACCAATAGAATATATATTAAAAGCAATGTATTAGGTTGACTTACACAGTATAGTCTGGGTAATTCAGGAATGGCTGTCTTCACGCTGGAGAGGCTGAGCACCAGTAGCTAGTAATATATACTATTTTATTAATTAATTTTTTAATGTATTTGTCTTTGTATTAGAATGCAGTATTAGTCAGGGTTTTCTAGAGCAACAGAACCAATAGAATATATATTAAAAGCAATGTATTAGGTTGACTTACACAGTATAGTCTGGGTAATTCAGGAATGGCTGTCTTCACGCTGGAGAGGCTGAGCACCAGTAGCTGCTTGGTCTACAAGGCTGGATGCCTCAGCAGTCCCAGTCTGGTACTGAAGGCCTGGAGGATTTCTAGAGAACCACTGGTCTTCAGTCCACATTGAAGAAACTGGGTTCTGATGTCAGTGAAGGCTGGCAGCAGCAGAGTAGGTGAACCTGCCAACAAAATGCTAACAGAGAAGGTAAACTGGCCAGCACAGAAAGGCAAGCAGGCAGCAAGCAAATAACTTTTCTCTTGGATCTTCTTATAACTGGGGTGACTCTGGAAGGTGCTGTCCACATTCAGGGTGGGTCTTCCCACTTCAGTTAATGTAATCAAGAAAATACCTCACATGTGTGTCCAGAGGCTTGCCTCTTAGTTAATTCCATATTTGACAGCTAAGAGTAAGCATTATAAATACTATTTTGAGTTTTTTATTTGAGGTCTTATTTTTCTGTAAATTTTTTTCTAAAACAGTGTTGAAATGGTCTCCATAATGAAATTTATTTTTTCTTTTTTTCATCTTTTTGAGACAGTGTCTTCATGTAGCCACAGCTGGCCTGGAACTCGCTATGTAGACCAGGCTGGCCTCAAACTTACAGAGATCCACCTGCCTCTGCCTCCCAAGTACTGGGAATAAAGGCATGCATCACCACACCCAGCATGAAATTTCTTTAGTTGAGAAATTAAGCATATGTTTCTCTAGGTATTATCTTTTTAAAAAACTTTTTTGGTTGGTCTATTTCTATGTTGTGCATATGAGTGTTTGGCCTACATGTTTGTAAGTGCACCACGTTTATGCAATGCCCACAGAAACCAGAAGAGGGCATTGGGTCCGATAGTTGTTAGCTACCATGTGGGTGCTGAGAACTGAACTCACTGATCTGATTGCCTCCCAGTGATCAGAGTGGGATTATGGCACCAGCCTGGCTTCCTTTCCAGTGGATGAATGTATTTATTTCTTCAGGTCATTTCCTGTAATGTCACAAGAAAATGGCTGAATTTGAGTAAGTTGCGTGGGAAGGAGTACAGCCATGATTTCTAAATGACTTTCCTGCACAGAATGAAAATGATCAGACATGTTGAATTTTCTGTTTATGATGTTTCAATGGGGATTATTAATGTCCAGGGTACTTCTCTGTCTTCGTTTTTTTTTTTTTAATTAAAAGAAGTTTTTTAAAATTTATTTTTATTTTGTGTGTACAAGTGTTTTGCCTGCATGTATATAAGTGCATACATATCACTGTGTCATGCGGTACCTCAGAGGCCAGAAGAAAGCATTGGATCCCCTGGAACTAGAGCTACAGATAGTTGTTAGCCACCATGTGGGTGCTGGGAATCAAACCTGGATCCTCCAGAAGAGCAGCAAGTGCTCTTAACCACTGAGCCATCTCTCCAGCCCCTCCAGGTTCTGTTTTGACACACTGCAAAGGAATGCTTAAATTCTCTATTTTATCTTATAATTATTTATTTAATAACCACATACTTAGAAGAAGCATTTCATTACAACAGCATTGACATATTCAATAACAATTTTCTGAGCTAAGATGCATCTCTTTCAAAATTGGCTGTAAATTTTTAGGTTTACAGTTGAATTATTACAGTTATACAATATTGTACTCAGTATAAACCCTAGAAGACATAAAATTAAATGAGGTTTTAACCTTTAAAAAAGATCTCCATTTCATTATTAAAATACACAGTTTCATACAGAAAAATTCATTTTTAATGCAATTGACATTAAGATGTTTTCACATGAGTCTCTAATCTCTATATATATGATTATTACTAGTCACAGTCGGTTACTTTCTGAGCTCCTTGGCATCTGAGCATGGATATAAAGTCGTCAAGTAGATTTCAATGGTAATGTTTTTCACATCTACTAATTATTAAGGAGCAAGTTTTTATGCTTTGAAGAATTATTTTTTTATCATTATTTTTAAAAAATTTAATAACTACATGATTAGAAGAAGCATTCCACTTTAAAATAATTTTTATTAA